TTCTGCCAGGTCGAAACCCTCATCGGACACGGACAGGCGGGTCATGAGTTGCGTGTACCAGGCCGAAAGTCTGACATCAGTGAAAAACTACAGCACATGGGATGAATTTCAAAGAGGCTTGGAAAGCTGTTTTGCGATTACTTGTCTTTTCCGAATTTTTGAGTTTGGTTGTTTCCTGTTTAAACTTTGACCCTCACAGGAAGCATGTGTACAATCAAGATTCGGCCAAGGCGCCGACGCTTGCACCAGCAGCAACGCCGGGTCCTGGTCAGGCTTGGAAACATAGGGCAAGATTGGCGAGATGTTCCTACCATTTGCATCCATTGCGCGCTTTGGAGATGGCTGCTGTACATGATTAGAGGAAAGATTTGAAATAATTCACATGATTTCTCATAATTCGAGTCGTTTTGGTGATGGTAGAATCAATTATCTTTGAGGCCACGGAAGTCCTGTGACTTTTTGGGTCAGCCACTGCCGACGATTTCCAGGTCTCCAACTGCTGGGCTCTTAGGGATCGGTCTAGATTGCGATGTCACGGCGATGTCCGGCTCGCAGCATGCCGTCTTGATCAGTTTTGGTGTTGAGCTTTTGGCATGTTTTGGCTTTTTGGTGTTGAGCCAACAACAGAAAACTACCACAAGATATTCAAGATACCATTTCTTTGTATTGTCGCGCAAAAAGCAACCATGCGCCCTGGGCCAACCTTTGTGACACCCTTGTGACACCCTTGCGACCTTTCAGTTTTCGGCTTCAGACGGCTTGCCACGCATTCCAGCTATTTTCCAGCTATTTTCCAGCTATCTTCCACCATGCGTATGCAGCGTACGCAATGTGCACAGTGGATGCTGTGGTATCGCCTGGTCCTGTTCGCCTGGACCGCAGTCCTCATCGCCGGGGGCGCTGTCGCTTGGAAATTCATCTCGGAGCGCGGCTTTCATCTTCCAGCGATTCCAGGCGCCATGCCATGAAATGCCATGAAATGCCATGAAATGCCATGAAAACCCTGTTTCGATCGTATGATGTGCAGCAACTGCCGTATAGATCCCCAGAACATTGAGCATCCCAAAACATCCCAGAACATCCTAGAACCTCCCAGAACCCAACTTTCGCACAGTGACACATGTTGATCATGTTGCATGCTGTTGCCGTGCCAGGCAGCCAGTACGACAAAGAGGAGCAGTCGTACCTGGGTTTCTTCGGTGATGGTGTGGATGGGGCTCAGGCTGCGCTGGTGCTTGGCAGTGATTCTCCAGTCATGGCGATGACCAACGTATCTACCTGTCAGATCAAACCAGCTCTGCAACAAGTTGGGAGCACTGGAAACACTTTCCAGTTGGAGTTGTCCTGTCAGAATGAGTCTGCACCTGGCGGTGGATGTATCACATCTTCACAACTCAGAAGTGAAGTGTACTCGCTGGTGAGCATGTTCATGTCCAACATGATGTCGCCAGAGAATTTGTCTCACTTCCTCGAGCTACAGGTGGAACCAATGCTGGATGCTGCTCCGGAGATGTTGGCTTGTCCGCATGTTGAGGACACCTTTCAAAAAAACCTGGCAGAAGCATCTTTCCAAGTGGAAGAGTCCCTTCGCCAGAAAATGCCGAACTGCGACTTAGCAGTTCTGTCTTTCTGGTCTCTGCCTCCTCAACAGTTTCAGCGCAACTTGACCTTTGCAGAGTTCAAGTTTGAAGTCACGGTCACGCTCCCGGCAGGAAGCTTTTGGAATGTTTTTCAAAAACTGCTCAGCTCCAAAAGCCAAGAACAAATCATGGTGGCAGTTCGTGCGCACACATGCAACGGCTTGCCAGTTGCTGACTTCTCACAGGAGGCTCTTCAAGTGGCCAACATTCTGAAGGATGTTGCCGAGGCGGCAGAGGGCATCGACGGTACCAACTTGAAAGCCGAAGTGATGTCCTTCGCCATCATCGTGGAAAGTATCAGAGATGGGGTTGAAGTGGTGATGGCCATGTCAACAGGTCGGGCCTGGTAGGGATTTTCAGTTTTCATCAGAAATGCGGCAGCCGAGAAGCTTCACAGAGAAATGCAGCCGTTGTAGTTCCAGTGTCTTTTTCAGCCTTTTCAGCTTTATTTTTTTGTGAAAAGTCTCCATGTCATTTTGGAGTGCGGATTGAATATAGCCGAGTGCTGCTTGAAACCGGAAACCTGCTTGGATGACATGTTTGCTGAATTTCTACTGGTGCAGGTACCCTTCCCCTTGGGATTGCGGTCTTGGCATACATGGTGGGGAACCCGCGCTTGGTGATCATTGCCATCATCAATGTACTAGCTGCCGTCACAGGTTCGGTGCTGGTCATGGAGTGCCTTGTAACCCACCTGATGCCGGTGAGCATTTTCCAATCCTCCATCCTTCAAACACAGCCCTGCTCAACTCTCAAACCGCACTCCAACTCCACTCCCCCCCCCTCCACCCCCCCACTTACGCCCTTCTTGATTGCAGTGGTCCTGTCCATGTCCATTGACTATGCCTTGTTTCTTTTGAGCAGATTCCAGAAGGAGACAGCAGCAGGTGCAGCAGCAGCTGAAGCCATGGCTATCAGCCTTTCCACATCTGGCCGTATCGTCGCGCAAGCTGGTGTGATCTTAGCATGCTGCTTTGCCTGCTTACTGATGACGCCAGTGCAACTGGTCAGTGCTATGGGAGCAGGTGGGCTTGTGGCGGTGGCTGTGGCCATGGCGGCCAACCTCACCTTGACCCCAGCTCTGATTTTAGGAACGCGACCCACTTTCTGGATTAGCAAGCCCAATGCACCTTGTCGACCTTGTCGTCAAGCTCCAGAGGGAGATGCTGAAGCACCAGCAGGTGACGAAGAGTTGCATGTTCCCAATGTTTCCATGGGCTTTTGGCGGAGATTTGGGGAGCGGTTGACGAGCTGTGCCAAGCCTCTTCTGTTCTTGATTCTACTCTCTGCAGCCCCTTGCGTTTGGAAGGACTCGATGCCTTCTTCAGACATGTTGGGTTTCACACCAGCCCTTCCACAAGGCTCGTCCACAGCCAAAATCTTCCACAGCATTGGTGAAGAGTTTGGATATGAAGTTCTTTTTTCCCCTTTTTCCCCTCTTTCCCTTTCCTTTCCGCCACAACAATAAATCGGCTGGTGGCCTCCAGCTGCGGGAAGTGAACCTGGAAGCGTGTAGGCTCCAGGCTTTGCAACGAACAAGGCTTTACATTATACAAGACAGGAGATTTTTGGTGTGCCCCCCCCCGCGTTTCCCGCTCCTTCCTTTCACCCGCTTTCTTTCCCCCTCCCCTTCATGAGTGAAGTCATCATTGATGGCAAGTGCTTGGCAGTTGATGTTGCTGGAAGTCTGCTGAAGTGGTGGCAAACCAATGGACAGGAAGGTACCGTCGTCTACATCGACTACCCATTGAATCCTTTGTCCATCGATGGACAACGATGGACCAAGAGCTTGCAGAGAGCTGTGGAAGACCATCATCGGGGCAGATGGTATGTGCATGGATATGGTCCACTCTTGTCCAGCCAATCTGGTGAGATTCGCGGGTTCTTTCCATATTTGGTTGTTGCAACGGTTTGCGCGGTCCTTCTCATTTCCATTTGCTTCACACGATCTGTTTTATGGAGCTTGCGGGCCCTCCTTTGCCTGTTCTGGATGTTAGCTGTTCTTTGGTGTTTGTCCTCCCTCGTCTTTCCTGAAGGGCTGTACTACATTGTGCCTTCCATGATGTTGCCCTTCCTGGTGGGTGTGGCCTTGGATTATGACATTTTCTATACTGAGGCAGTCTTGGAAGAATGCAATGGTGGCCTCCCAGTGAAAAAGGCTGGCATCAAAGCGCTTGAGAAGACTGCCAACATCATCACAGCAGCCGGAGTGGTCATGATAATAGCCTTTTGCCCACTCCTGCTTTCTTCAACGTTAGTCTTGAAGCAGATTGGTTTCATGGCAATTGGTGGTTTGTCTATCAGTGCTTTCTGGAACACCAAAGTGGCCATGCCCGTGTGCTTGCACTTCTTCGGGAAGCACAGCTTTTGGCCTCGGAATTTGGAGAAAAAGCAGCGCTGCCAGCAGCCAATTGATGCCATTTTCCTGGGGCACCCTGCCTACCTGGTAGATACGTTTACCTTGTTGACCTCGCCTGACACTGAAAAGCCATGGAGCGCATCGTGGTGGATGTACCTCTTCCTTCCTGTTCTTTGGCTGTTTGGTTTCGTTGGGGCACATATCTTGAGGCGCCTTGGCTTGCCAAATCATGTTGTTTTGGATGACTACGAGTACAACGGCCTTCATGTCCAGACTTGGGGGGTTCTGCACTTCGGCCGCCACTTTCGCAACTCTTTGGAACTTCATGATGCTCGACGCAACGTGAGGGCAGCAGCCAGCAGGGCTGAGAAGACCGGCGCCCGGGTGCTAGGATTAGGTGCGCTCAACAAGGCAGAATCTTTGAACCGTGGAGGCCTGGACTTGGTTCAACACTTGCCTTTAAGCCGAAGCATGTGTGTGACTCATGGAGATCATCTCACAGCTGCTGCAGTGGTGGAGAATGTGCTACGGCTGGTTGCAAGGTTCCCTGAGTTTCGGGAGAAAATCTTCATGACCGGAGCCACGGGGAAGACCGGGAAGGCCGTTGCGCTGGCCTTATTGCGCCGCGGTGTCTCCGTGATGTGCCACAGTGGCAGCAAGCAAAGACGAGATGAATTGGAGACTCATGGGTTGGCCACTGCATCCCACCTGCGTGATGGGGCTGACTGTGGCATGTGGATTGTGGGTAAATATGACCAGTTGGTGAACCAAGTCATGCCTCCATCTGCTGTTGCCTGTGTCTTTGCGGTGCCAAATCCAGTTAATCCAGTGTCCCGCTCAGATGTCATGGTATATGCTGGTGCCACCATGCAGATTGATGAGTCGCGCTTGAAAGGACAACGAGCAAATTTGAAGCTCTTACGCCAAGAGATTTATGCATGCAATGCAGCCACCCTGCTTCTTGCATCAGGTTCCAAGCAGTTCGATGATTTGGGTGAAGTCGATCCATTGACATTGGAAGCCTACCTGGAGGGGGCTGAATCCATTGGCATCACTCTGAAGCCTCTTGAAGACTTGCATAGTAAGGGGCGGTAGCTCTTAGAATTTTGGGTTGTGACATGTTGTGACCTTTTTTGCATTTGTGTGCTACAGCTACAGCTACCGCGCAGGAGGCCAGAGGGCCTAGCCTTAGCGGAATGTGGCTCTCTCACAACCATTTTTACAGTTGCGCAGCATACGCAGTGGTGGTACAGCATGCACAGAGGTCATGGGATTGATCGACGCAATAGCAAACCAGACAACACGAAGACCCCAAGTTTTGATTTCTCATCAAGTTCGATGAATCTCGCTTGAAATGGGCTTGATGAGCCATGAAAGGTTTGCTGTTGTGTCTAAGTCCATGTCATTGCCTAGAGGCTGTGCCAACGCCCCTTTTGAGGGTTGAAAAGAAGTGTGCTTGATGTGCCAATCCCTGGTCCAATCGTGTTGGGTTGCCACCCTGGTTTCGTCCCCTACAGACGTTTTTATTGAAATCCTGCTTCAGGTTCAAGATCGAAGCATCCTTTGACCGGGAAAACTGGTGGCGAAAAAAATGGTGGGTTCGAAGGTGCGGCGGTGGTGGGGCATTGAGAGCTGGAGAGCTTGCATTCATTGGAGGCATCAGGCCCACGCCTTGCCCCTGAAACTCCAGTGAAACTGACTGTCCGACGGAGTTCTTGCCGTTCCGGACGATTCAGTCCAGGGTTGGAGTGTTTGCTTTACCCCTGTCATTCCGGTGGCAAAGAACTTGTGAAGTTTTGAGTTGCGAGCAATGGAGAAGATCCCATTGAAAAACCACCGGAAGTTTGATGCTTTTGCTTGAACTTATCTTTGCAATCACGTTGGTGGAGGTCATGAAAATTGCAGCCACACGGGTCGCTCGAGCACAGGACTTGCAGTTGACATAGAGATATATGTTTGCGGCGTTTTTGTTCCGAATGTGTTTCCTTGCATTTTCCCAAAAGACAATCCAAAACTCCGCAGATGCTTCCTGCAGGAAGTTCAAATCCATGGCCTGCAGAGAGCGTCGAGCGCCGGGGTGCCTTGGATGCGGCGCCAGTTCAAAGTTGTTAGTTTTCTTTTTAAGTTTGTGATGATTTTGTGCTGATTTTGATGCCGTTGCTTTCAGTTTGAACGCTTTGCGCTTCCAAAATGATCTGAAAGCCATTCATCATGGGGAAGTTTCATGACATCATGCATCATAGCACAGCTTCACATGCGACCATGAAACCCAGCGTGGTTACAACGGCGCAACGACATTCAGCCAGGTTCGCACAGCGACACGTGTGTCTTTGCAAAGCTATGTTCATTGCTCTTACAGATGCCATGTACATGGATGCAGGGTTGAAACAGCGTGCACTTCAACACTGGGGGTCTTAAAACAAGGGAAGTTTACACAGGCTTAGCCTCCCTGTATATGCAACTGATGCAAAAGTGAACAGTGACAAGTCTTTAGGGGCAGGGTAACGTGTGGTTGAGCATGGATGCAAGAATGACCAGATAGTACGGCAGCAATACTAGTCTTCTGATAAGCAACGTTGCCTTTGACGGACCTTCCCGCTGAGCCCATGCAATTTGCATAGATGCAAGAGCGATAGATGTTCTGCGTGTGTGTGAATTAAGTTTTGCAAGTAGCAAGGGCATTTCAGTGCTGCAGGGGAATGGGTGTATACCGTATACCAGCGTTTGATAGTAGAACAGCTGCGCCAGGGAGAAATTAGCATGGCGCTTTTACAATTATGGGCTGTACCATTCCAGCTGGATGTTTGCTGTCAAACTGTCGGCATTTGTTGGCATGTGGGGTTTGGGGGAGTCACTTGTTTCAAGCACGTTTGCAACTGTTTGATTGGCCCATCTAGCATCCAAAAACGTCACCATACGTTCGAACAGTGTTGGACACCTCTGTTGGACGTTGGACACAGAGCCCTTAACCAGGATGATTTCTGCGCGTGTGAAAAACAGCCTCTTTGAGATTGGGCTCTTAGGATGTTGCCTTCGGGCAAACTGCCAATGCGCCTGCCTCACGCCCCAGGCTGGGGTATAGCCTGGGATCACAAACGGAGATTGCGGTTTTGGAAGTAGCTTCTCCCATCGCTTTTCAGCTTTTCCATGAGATATCCGGAATTTACATGAATTTGTCACTATCTACGGTAGCGCATGTCCAACCGTCCAACCCTGCTTGACAGTGGCACAATGTGGCACATGTTGTTCAACCTGATTCTGCCAGGTCGAAACCCTCATCGGACACGGACAGGCGGGTCAGTTGCGTGTACCAGGCCGAAAGTCTGACATCAGTGAAAAACTACAGCACATGGGGATGAATTTCGAAGAGGCTTGGAAAGCTGTTTTGCGATTACTTGTCTTTTCCGAATTTTTGAGTTTGGTTGTTTTCTGTTTAAACTTTGACCCTCACAGGAAGCATGTGTACAATCAAAATTCGGCCAAGGCGCCGACGCTTGCACCAGCAGCAACGCCGGGTCCTGGTCAGGCTTGGAAACATAGGGCAAGATTGGCGAGATGTTCCTACCATTTGCATCCATTTGCGCACTTTGGAGATGGCTGCTGTACGTGATTAGAGGAAAGATTTGAAATAATTCACATGATTTCTCATAATTCGAGTCGTTTTGGTGATGGCAAAATCAATTACTTTGAGGCCACGGAAGTCCTGTGACTTTTTGGGTCAGCCACTGCCGACGATTTCCAGGTCTCCAACTGCTGGGCTCTTAGGGATCGGTCTAGATTGCGATGTCACGGCGATGTCCGGCTCGCAGCATGCCGTCAGTATGTTTTTGGTGTTGAGCTTTTGGCATGTTTTGGCTTTTTGGTGTTGAGCCAACAACAGAAAACTACCACAAGATATTCAAGATACCATTTCTTTGTATTGTCGCGCAAAAAGCAACCATGCGCCCTGGGCCAACCTTTGTGACACCCTTGTGACACCCTTGCGACCTTTCAGTTTTCGGCTTCAGACGGCTTGCCACGCATTCCAGCTATTTTCCAGCTATTTTCCAGCTATCTTCCACCATGCGTATGCAGCGTACGCAATGTGCACAGTGGATGCTGTGGTACCGCCTGGTCCTGTTCGCCTGGACCGCAGTCCTCATCGCCGGAGGCGCTGTCGCTTGGAAGTTCATCTCGGAGCGCGGCTTTCATCTTCCAGCGATTCCAGGCGCCATGCCATGAAATGCCATGAAAACCTTGTTTCGATCGTATGATGTGCAGCAACTGCCGTATAGATCCCCAGAACATCGAGCATCCCAGAACAAATTCCAGAACATCCCAGAACATCCCAGAACATCCCAGAACCTCCCAGAACCCAACTTTCGCACAGTGACACATGTTGATCATGTTGCATGCTGTTGCCGTGCCAGGCAGCCAGTACGACAAAGAGGAGCAGTCGTACCTGGGTTTCTTCGGTGATGGTGTGGATGGGGCTCAGGCTGCGCTGGTGCTTGGCAGTGATTCTCCAGTCATGGCGATGACCAACGTATCTACCTGTCAGATCAAACCAGCTCTGCAACAAGTTGGGAGCACTGGAAACACTTTCCAGTTGGAGTTGTCCTGTCAGAATGAGTCTGCACCTGGCGGTGGATGTATTACATCTTCACAACTCAGAAGTGAAGTGTACTCGCTGGTGAGCATGTTCATGTCCAACATGATGTCGCCAGAGAATTTGTCTCACTTCCTCGAACGACAGGTGGAACCAATGCTGGATGCTGCTCCGGAGATGTTGGCTTGTCCGCATGTTGAGGACACCTTTCAAAAAAACCTGGCAGAAGCATCTTTCCAAGTGGAAGAGTCCCTTCGCCAGAAAATGCCGAACTGCGACTTAGCAGTTCTGTCTTTCTGGTCTCTGCCTCCTCAACAGTTTCAGCGCAACTTGACCTTTGCAGAGTTCAAGTTTGAAGTCACGGTCACGCTCCCGGCAGGAAGCTTTTGGAATGTTTTTCAAAAACTGCTCAGCTCCAAAAGCCAAGAACAAATCATGGTGGCAGTTCGTGCGCACACATGCAACGGCTTGCCAGTTGCTGACTTCTCACAGGAGGCTCTTCAAGTGGCCAACATTCTGAAGGATGTTGCAGAGGCGGCAGAGGGCATCGACGGTACCAACTTGAAAGCCGAAGTGATGTCCTTCGCCATCATCGTGGAAAGTATCAGAGATGGGGTTGAAGTGGTGATGGCCATGTCAACAGGTCGGGCCTGGTAGGGATTTTCAGTTTTCATCAGAAATGCGACAGCCGTTGTAGTTCCAGTGTCTTTTTCAGCCTTTTCAGCTTTATTTTTTTGTGAAAAGTCTCCATGTCATTTTGGAGTGCGGATTGAATATAGCCGAGTGCTGCTTGAAACCGGAAACCTGCTTGGATGACATGTTTGCTGAATTTCTACTGGTGCAGGTACCCTTCCCCTTGGGATTGCGGTCTTGGCATACATGGTGGGGAACCCGCGCTTGGTGATCATTGCCATCATCAATGTACTAGCTGCCGTCACAGGTTCGGTGCTGGTCATGGAGTGCCTTGTAACCCACCTGATGCCGGTGAGCATTTTCACGCCGCCCTTCTTGATTGCAGTGGTCCTGTCCATGTCCATTGACTATGCCTTGTTTCTTTTGAGCAGATTCCAGAAGGAGACAGCAGCAGGTGCAGCAGCAGCTGAAGCCATGGCTATCAGCCTTTCCACATCTGGCCGTATCGTCGCGCAAGCTGGTGTGATCTTAGCATGCTGCTTTGCCTGCTTACTGATGACGCCAGTGCAACTGGTCAGTGCTATGGGAGCAGGTGGGCTTGTGGCGGTGGCTGTGGCCATGGCGGCCAACCTCACCTTGACCCCAGCTCTGATTTTAGGAACGCGACCCACTTTCTGGATTAGCAAGCCCAATGCACCTTGTCGACCTTGTCGTCAAGCTCCAGAGGGAGATGCTGAAGCACCAGCAGGTGACGAAGAGTTGCATGTTCCCAATGTTTCCATGGGCTTTTGGCGGAGATTTGGGGAGCGGTTGACGAGCTGTGCCAAGCCTCTTCTGTTCTTGATTCTACTCTCTGCAGCCCCTTGCGTTTGGAAGGACTCGATGCCTTCTTCAGACATGTTGGGTTTCACACCAGCCCTTCCACAAGGCTCGTCCACAGCCAAAATCTTCCACAGCATTGGTGAAGAGTTTGGATATGAAGTTCTTTTCCCCACAACAATTGGGCTTGTGGCTCCAGCTGAAGTGAACCTGGAAGCGTGGAGGCTCCAGGCTTGCAAGGCTTTACAGGAGATTGGGGAAGAGGTGTACAGAAGTGACTTCACGAGTTCAACCTTCATGAGTGAAGTCATCATTGATGGCAAGTGCTTGGCAGTTGATGTTGCTGGAAGTCTGCTGAAGTGGTGGCAAACCAATGGACAGGAAGGTACCGTCGCCTACATCGACTACCCATTGAATCCTTTGTCCATCGATGGACAACGATGGACCAAGAGCTTGCAGAGAGCTGTGGAAGACCATCATCGGGGCAGATGGTATGTGCATGGATATGGTCCACTCTTGTCCAGCCAATCTGGTGAGATTCGCGAGTTCTTTCCATATTTGGTTGTTGCAACGGTTTGCGCGGTCCTTCTCATTTCCATTTGCTTCACACGATCTGTTTTATGGAGCTTGCGGGCCCTCCTTTGCCTGTTCTGGATGTTAGCTGTTCTTTGGTGTTTGTCCTCCCTCGTCTTTCCTGAAGGGCTGTACTACATTGTGCCTTCCATGATGTTGCCCTTCCTGGTGGGTGTGGCCTTGGATTATGACATTTTCTATACTGAGGCAGTCTTGGAAGAATGCAATGGTGGCCTCCCAGTGAAAAAGGCTGGCATCAAAGCGCTTGAGAAGACTGCCAACATCATCACAGCAGCCGGAGTGGTCATGATAATAGCCTTCTGCCCACTCCTGCTTTCTTCAACGTTAGTCTTGAAGCAGATTGGTTTCATGGCAATTGGTGGTTTGTCTATCAGTGCTTTCTGGAACACCAAAGTGGCCATGCCCGTGTGCTTGCACTTCTTCGGGAAGCACAGCTTTTGGCCTCGGAATTTGGAGAAAAAGCAGCGCTGCCAGCAGCCAATTGATGCCATTTTCCTGGGGCACCCTGCCTACCTGGTAGATACGTTTACCTTGTTGACCTCGCCTGACACCGAAAAGCCATGGAGCGCATCGTGGTGGATGTACCTCTTCCTTCCTGTTCTTTGGCTGTTTGGTTTCGTTGGGGCACATATCTTGAGGCGCCTTGGCTTGCCAAATCATGTTGTTTTGGATGACTACGAGTACAACGGCCTTCATGTCCAGACTTGGGGGGTTCTGCACTTCGGCCGCCACTTTCGCAACTCTTTGGAACTTCATGATGCTCGACGCAACGTGAGGGCAGCAGCCAGCAGGGCTGAGAAGACCGGCGCCCGGGTGCTAGGATTAGGTGCGCTCAACAAGGCAGAATCTTTGAACCGTGGAGGCCTGGACTTGGTTCAACACTTGCCTTTAAGCCGAAGCATGTGTGTGACTCATGGAGATCATCTCACAGCTGCTGCAGTGGTGGAGAATGTGCTACGGCTGGTCGCAAGGTTCCCTGAGTTTCGGGAGAAAATCTTCATGACCGGAGCCACGGGGAAGACCGGGAAGGCCGTTGCGCTGGCCTTATTGCGCCGCGGTGTCTCCGTGATGTGCCACAGTGGCAGCAAGCAAAGACGAGATGAATTGGAGACTCATGGGCTAGCCACTGCATCCCACCTGCGTGATGGGGCTGACTGCGGCATGTGGATTGTGGGTAAATATGACCAGTTGGTGAACCAAGTCATGCCTCTATCTGCTGTTGCCTGTGTCTTTGCGGTGCCAAATCCAGTTAATCCAGTGTCCCGCTCAGATGTCATGGTATATGCTGGTGCCACCATGCAGATTGATGAGTCGCGCTTGAAAGGACAACGAGCAAATCTGAAGCTCTTACGCCAAGAGATTTATGCATGCAATGCAGCCACCCTGCTTCTTGCATCAGGTTCCAAGCAGTTCGATGATTTGGGTGAAGTGGATCCACTGACATTGGAAGGCTACCTGGAGGGGGCTGAATCCATTGGCATCACTCTGAAGCCTCTTGAAGACTTGCATAGTAAGGGGCGGTAGCTCTTAGAATTTTGGGTTGTGACCTTTTTTGCACATTTGTGCTACAGCTACAGCTACCGCGGCGCAGGAGGCCAAAGGGCCTTAAGCCTTAGCGGAATGTGGCTCTCTCACAACCATTTTTCCAGTTGCGCAGCATGCGCAGTGGTTGTACAGCATGCACAGAGGTCATGGGATTGATCGACGCAATAGCAAACCAGACAACACGAAGACCCCAAGTTTTGATTTCTCATCAAGTTCGATGAATCTCGCTTGAAATGGGCTTGATGAGCCATGAAAGGTTTGCTGTTGTGTCTAAGTCCATGTCATTGCCTAGAGGCTGTGCCAACGCCCGTTTTGAGGGTTGAAAAGAAGTGTGCTTGATGTGCCAATCCCTGGTCCAATCGTGTTGGGTTGCCACCCTGGTTTCGTCCCCTACAGACGTTTTTATTGAATTCCTGCTTCAGGTTCAAGATCGAAGCGTCCTTTGACCGGGAAAACTGGTGGCGAAAAAAATGGTGGGTTCGAAGGTGCGGCGGTGGTGGGGCATTGAGAGCTGGAGAGCTTGCATTCATTGGAGGCATCAGGCCCACGCCTTGCCCCTGAAACTCCAGTGAAACTGACTGTCCGACGGAGTTCTTGCCGTTCCGGACGATTCAGTCCAGGTTTGGAGTGTTTGCTTTACCCCTGTCATTCCGGTGGCAAAGAACTTGTGAAGTTTTGAGTTGCGAGCAATGGAGAAGATCCCATTGAAAAACCACCGGAAGTTTGATGCTTTTGCTTGAACTTATCTTTGCAATCACGTTGGTGGAGGTCATGAAAATTGCAGCCACACGGGTCGCTCGAGCACAGGACTTGCAGTTGACATAGAGATATATGTTTGCGGCGTTTTTGTTCCGAATGTGTTTCCTTGCATTTTCCCAAAAGACAATCCAAAACTCCGCAGATGCTTCCTGCAGGAAGTTCAAATCCATGGCCTGCAGAGAGCGTTGAGCGCCGGGGTGCCTTGGATGCGGCGCCAGTTCAAAGTTGTTAGTTTTCTTTTTAAGTTTGTGATGATTTTGTGCTGATTTTGATGCCGTTGCTTTCAGTTTGAACGCTTTGCGCTTCCAAAATGATCTGAAAGCCATTCATCATGGGGAAGTTTCATGACATCATGCATCATAGCACAGCTTCACATGCGACCATGAAACCCAGCGTGGTTACAACGGCGCAACGACATTCAGCCAGGTTCGCACAGCGACACGTGTGTCTTTGCAAAGCTATGTTCATTGCTCTTACAGATGCCATGTACATGGATGCAGGGTTGAAACAGCGTGCACTTCAACACTGGGGGTCTTAAAACAAGGGAAGTTTACACAGGCTTAGCCTCCCTGTATATGCAACTGATGCAAAAGTGAACAGTGACAAGTCTTTAGGGGCAGGGTAACGTGTGGTTGAGCATGGATGCAAGAATGACCAGATAGGGCAGCAATACTAGTCTTCTGATAAGCAACGTTGCCTTTGACGGACCTTCCCGCTGAGCCCATGCAATTTGCATAGATGCAAGAGCGATAGATGTTCTGCGTGTGTGTGAATTAAGTTTTGCAAGTAGCAAGGGCATTTCAGTGCTGCAGGGGAATGGGTGTATACCGTATACCAGTGTTTGATAGTAGAACAGCTGCGCCAGGGAGAAATTAGCCTGGCGCTTTTACAATTATGGGCTGTACCATTCCAGCTGGATGTTTACTGTCAAACTGTTGGCATTTGTTGGCATGTGGGGTTTGGGGGGGTCACTTGTTTCAAGCACATGTGCAAATGTTTGATTGGCCCATCTAGCATCCAAAAACGTCACCATACGTTCGAACAGTGTTGGACACCTCTGTTGGACGTTGGACACAGAGCCCTTAACCAGGATGATTTCTGCGCGTGTGAAAAACAGCCTCTTTGAGATTGGGCTCTTAGGATGTTGCCTTCGGGGAAACTGCCAATGCGCCTGCCTCACGCCCCAGGCTGGGGTATATCCTGGGATCACAAACGGAGATTGCGGTTTTGGAAGTAGCTTCTCCCATCGCTTTTCAGCTTTTCCATGAGATATCCGGAATTTACATGAATTTGTCACTATCTACGGTAGCGCATGTCCAACCGTCCAACCCTGCTTGACAGTGGCACAATGTGGCACATGTTGTTCAACCTGATTCTGCCAGGTCGAAACCCTCATCGGACACGGACAGGCGGGTCATGAGTTGCGTGTACCAGGCCGAAAGTCTGACATCAGTGAAAAACTACAGCACATGGGATGAATTTCAAAGAGGCTTGGAAAGCTGTTTTGCGATTACTTGTCTTTTCCGAATTTTTGAGTTTGGTTGTTTTCTGTTTAAACTTTGACCCTCACAGGAAGCATGTGTACAATCAAGATTCGGCCAAGGCGCCGACGCTTGCACCAGCAGCAACGCCGGGTCCTGGTCAGGCTTGGAAACATAGGGCAAGATTGGCGAGATGTTCCTACCATTTGCATCCATTTGCGCGCTTTGGAGATGGCTGCTGTACATGATTAGAGGAAAGATTTGAAATAATTCACATGATTTCTCATAATTCGAGTCGTTTTGGTGATGGTAAAATCAATTATCTTTGAGGCCACGGAAGTCCTGTGACTTTTTGGGTCAGCCACTGCCGACGATTTCCAGGTCTCCAACTGCTGGGCTCTTAGGGATCGGTCTAGATTGCGATGTCACGGCGATGTCCGGCTCGCAGCATGCCGTCTTGATCAGTTTTGGTGTTGAGCTTTTGGCATGTTTTGGCTTTTTGGTGTTGAGCCAACAACAGAAAACTACCACAAGATATTCAAGATACCATTTCTTTGTATTGTCGCGCAAAAAGCAACCATGCGCCCTGGGCCAACCTTTGTGACACCCTTGTGACACCCTTGCGACCTTTCAGTTTTCGGCTTCAGACGGCTTGCCACGCATTCCAGCTATTTTCCAGCTATCTTCCACCATGCGTATGCAGCGTACGCAATGTGCACAGTGGATGCTGTGGTATCGCCTGGTCCTGTTCGCCTGGACCGCAGTCCTCATCGCCGGGGGCGCTGTCGCTTGGAAATTCATCTCGGAGCGCGGCTTTCATCTTCCAGCGATTCCAGGCGCCATGCCATGAAATGCCATGAAATGCCATGAAAACCCTGTTTCGATCGTATGATGTGCAGCAACTGCCGTATAGATCCCCAGAACATCGAGCATCCCAGAACATCCCAGAACATCCCAGAACATCCTAGAACCTCCCAGAACCCAACTTTCGCACAGTGACACATGTTGATCATGTTGCATGCTGTTGCCGTGTCAGGCAGCCAGTACGACAAAGAAGAGCAGACGTACCTGGGTTTCTTCGGTGATGGTGTGGATGGGGCTCAGGCTGCGCTGGTGCTTGGCAGTGATTCTCCAGTCATGGCGATGACCAACGTATCTACCTGTCAGATCAAACCAGCTCTGCAACAAGTTGGGAGCACTGGAAACACTTTCCAGTTGGAGTTGTCCTGTCAGAATGAGTCTGCACCTGGCGGTGGATGTATTACATCTTCACAACTCAGAAGTGAAGTGTACTCGCTGGTGAGCATGTTCATGTCCAACATGATGTCGCCAGAGAATTTGTCTCACTTCCTCGAGCTACAGGTGGAACCAATGCTGGATGCTGCTCCGGAGATGTTGGCTTGTCCACATGTGGAGGACACCTTTCAAAAAAACCTGGCAGAAGCATCTTTCCAAGTGGAAGAGTCCCTTCGCCAGAAAATGCCGAACTGCAACTTAGCAGTTCTGTCTTTCTGGTCTCTGCCTCCTCAACAGTTTCAGCGCAACTTGACCTTTGCAGAGTTCAAGTTTGAAGTCACGGTCACGCTCCCAGCAGGAAGCTTTTGGAATGTTTTTCAAAAACTGCTCAGCTCCAAAAGCCAAGAACAAATCATGGTGGCAGTTCGTGCGCACACATGCAACGGCTTGCCAGTTGCTGACTTCTCACAGGAGGCTCTTCAAGTGGCCAACATTCTGAAGGATGTTGCCGAGGCGGCAGAGGGCATCGACGGTACCAACTTGAAAGCCGAAGTGATGTCCTTCGCCATCATCGTGGAAAGTATCAGAGATGGGGTTGAAGTGGTGATGGCCATGTCAACAGGTCGGGCCTGGTAGGGATTTTCAGTTTTCATCAGAAATGCGGCACCGAGCTTCGTGCAGCCGTGTAGTTCCAGTGTCTTTTTCAGCCTTTTCAGCTTTATTTTTTTGTGAAAAGTCTCCATGTCATTTTGGAGTGCGGATTGAATATAGCCGAGTGCTGCTTGAAACCGGAAACCTGCTTGGATGACATGTTTGCTGAATTTCTACTGGTGCAGGTACCCTTCCCCTTGGGATTGCGGTCTTGGCATACATGGTGGGGAACCCGCGCTTGGTGATCATTGCCATCATCAATGTACTAGCTGCCGTCACAGGTTCGGTGCTGGTCATGGAGTGCCTTGTAACCCACCTGATGCCGGTGAGCATTTTCACGCCGCCCTTCTTGATTGCAGTGGTCCTGTCCATGTCCATTGACTATGCCTTGTTTCTTTTGAGCAGATTCCAGAAGGAGACAGCAGCAGGTGCAGCAGCAGCTGAAGCCATGGCTATCAGCCTTTCCACATCTGGCCGTATCGTCGCGCAAGCTGGTGTGATCTTAGCATGCTGCTTTGCCTGCTTACTGATGACGCCAGTGCAACTGGTCAGTGCTATGGGAGCAGGTGGGCTTGTGGCGGTGGCTGTGGCCATGGCGGCCAACCTCACCTTGACCCCAGCTCTGATTTTAGGAACGCGACCCACTTTCTGGATTAGCAAGCCCAATGCACCTTGTCGACCTTGTCGTCAAGCTCCAGAGGGAGATGCTGAAGCACCAGGTGACGAAGAGTTGCATGTTCCCAATGTTTCCATGGGCTTTTGGCGGAGATTTGGGGAGCGGTTGACGAGCTGTGCCAAGCCTCTTCTGTTCTTGATTCTACTCTCTGCAGCCCCTTGCGTTTGGAAGGACTCGATGCCTTCTTCAGACATGTTGGGTTTCACACCAGCCCTTCCACAAGGCTCGTCCACAGCCAAAATCTTCCACAGCATTGGTGAAGAGTTTGGATATGAAGTTCTTTTCCCCACAACAATCGGGCTGGTGGCTCCAGCTGAAGTGAGCCTGGAAGCGTGGAGGCTCCAGGCTTGCAAGGCTTTACAGGAGATTGGGGAAGAGGTGTACAGAAGTGACTTCACGAGTTCAACCTTCATGAGTGAAGTCATCATTGATGGCAAGTGCTTGGCAGTTGATGTTGCTGGAAGTCTGCTGAAGTGGTGGCAAACCAATGGACAGGAAGGTACC